GCTTTTTTCTTTTTGCTTATGTGATGCTGAGGAATCGAACCCAGGGCCTCAGGCATGCAAGGCAAGCGCTCTACCACTGAGCCACCTTCCCAGCCCCGATCTATAGGTAATTTATGGATATACAAAGCAATATTTAGTGTCCTGGGTAAGAGAAGGAGTTTAAGTTAAATAAAGAATTGAATGCTGTTTTCAGATTAAGAACTGGGAGGATGAGGAGCATTGGTAATTATGTTGCTGCATGAAGTTTAAGTTGCTCATGATGTTTTTTCAAATAGACAATTTAAGGATAACTACTGTATCAGATTTGAAAAATGTCCATATCACTATCCATCAATTACATTATCCTAAAATGAGAGATACAGATAATTGGTTCTCTTCAGAAGTGATTAAAATATATCCTATAAATAAAATTATCCTATAAAAGTTGCAATGCTTCACAGGATGGAATGATACATCATCTCTGAAGATGGTATAGATGAATGTTACCATGAAAAGACAGGCTGCATTAACCAAGTGACAAAAAGTCAAGTTGATTATATAAACTTTAGCCAAAGATACATACAAAATGTGTTGTGTGAAACTTTCTCTTATTTCTACCACTTACAAGCAGAGCACTTGCCTAGCATACAGGAGGTCGTGAGTTCTATTCCCAGCTTCACATGTATACAAAAACAATGCAGTCAGGTAGGCTGCTTTTTTCTTCAATAGTATGAGTGACAACAGCTTTTAGTATCCTTTCTTCAGAAGAAAATCAAATATTTCTTTAGAAAGCAATGGAATGACATGCCAGTACAATATTTACAATGGCATAAGTAATTGTGTATTTGGAGATAATGATCCGTGATTCCATTAAAAAAAATCCCTTTCATTTCCACAGGACTGCTCTGCATTTAGCCTGTGCTTGTGGCCATGTCAAAGTGGTGACCTTCCTAATCGCCAATGATTGTGAGATTGACCTCTGTGACAGCGACAACAGCACTGCGCTGATTAAGGTAGACTGGAACCATTGCTTTCAGTGTGAGATGGATTTGATTTAAATGCTTAGAAGAAAAAAATGTATCTCATTTAAAGCTTACAAATTTGTTAAATTTAGGGAATGTTTTTCTTGAACTCACTGAGTCCACAGTCTGTGTTTAATACTCTCAGGCTGTACAATGCCAGGAAGAGGAGTGTGCAACCATTTTACTAAAGCATGGCGCTGATTCAAACATTGAAGATGTCAGCGGCTTCACTGCTCTTCATTATGCTGTCTGCAATGGGAATAGTCCAATGGTTACCAAGCTGCTTGCATATAATGCAAACATCGAAGCAAAGACTAAGGTATAGAAGACTCAAATTTGATTCTAAAATATTTGAAATACCTGTGTTTTACTAGTGACAAAAGGGTTTATTTTCTGTGTTTAGAAGCTTGGCCATTCACTGAATAAAAATATTTTGAAATAATGTAAATGTTGAAGATGTCACTTTAAATATTGCTGTTTAAAAGCAGCCTTAGGGCTGGGAATGTGGCTTAGTGATAGAGTGCTTGCCTAGCATGCATGAAGCCCTGGGTTTGGTTCCTCAGCACCACATAAACAGAAAATGCCAGAAGTGCCACTGTGGCTCAAGTGGTAAAGTGCTAGCCTTGAGTGAAAGAAGCTCAGGGACAGTGCCCAGACCTTGAGTTCAAGCCCAGGACTGGCAACAAATAAAAAAAAAATAAAAGCAAGCCGGGCACCAGTAGCTCATGCCTATAATCCTAGCTATCAGGAGGCTGAAATCTGAGGATTGTGGTTCAAAGCCAGCCCAGAGAGGAAAGTCTGTGAGACTTTCTGTGTTATGGCTCAAGAGCTAGAGAGCTAGACTTGAGCTGAAGAATCCAGGGACAGCACCCAAGCCCAGAGTTCAAGCCCCATGACCAACAAAAGAACAAACCAACAACAACAAAAAACCAGCATTAGAAGGTTCAGCCTTTCTTCTATGCATTGTAACAAATTCATATGAAAACACTAAAGGGTTGTTTTGTTTTTCTTTTTCCATTCTTCTAATTCTGGCTTCTAACTGGAGATAAGAATCTCTCAGACTTATCTGCTCAGGCTGACCTTGAATCTCAATCCTCAGATCTCAGCCTCCTGAGTAACTAGACATGAATAGCCAGAAACCAGCAGTATTTTTAAACTTTTCTTTATCTAGCCTATAAATAATACATATAGATTGGTTTTAAATATATACATATATATATATATATATTTTTTTGCTTGGTTGTGGGGATTGAACTCAGGGTTGGATGCTATCCTAACGTTCAAGGCTAACATTCTACCACTGAGCCACAGCTCAGCTTCTGGTTTTCTAGTGGTTAACTGTGGATAAGAATCTCATGGAAGCTGGGCGCTGGTGGCTCACGCCTGTAATCCTAGCTACTCAGGAGGCTGAGATCTGAGGATCGCGGTTCAAAGCCAGCCTGGGAAGGAAAGTCCATGAGACTCTTCTCTCCAATTAACTACCAGAAAACTGGGAGTGGCGCTGTGGCTCAAGCGGCAGGGGGCTCACCTTGAGCTGAAGAACTCAGGGACAGTGCCTAGGCCCAGAGTTCAAGCCCCACGACTGACAACAACAACAACAACAACAAAAAAGAGTCTCATGGATTTTCCTGCCCAGGCTGGCTTTGAATAACAATCCTTACATCTCAGCCTCCTTAGTAGCTAAGATTACAGGCATGAGCTACCAGTGTCTGGTAGCTTTATAATTTTTACTGATAAGCTATGTTCTTTTTATTTGTGATTTATACTTTGCCAAAAATAAAAAGAATAACTCAAGGCAGTAATTAAAATGGAGGAAGAATAAAAATGGATTCAGTAGATTAGTCTGACACATGTCTTTAATCCAGCATTCAGGAGTAGAAGGCAGGAGAATCATGAAATCCAAGCCAATCTTGGATATGTAGGGAGATCCATGTTTCAATAAATAAACAAGCAAGCAAGCACATAAATAAACAAAAAGTATGCATCCCAGAATTATCTTAAGAATAAAATTAGGTATGGAACTTAGTAAGAACTTGGTAAGAATGTTTCACCTTAGCTGGGCACTGGTGGCTCACGCCTGTAATCCTAGCTACTCAGGAGGCTGAGATCTGAGGATCGCGGTTCAAAGCCAGCCTGGGCAGGAGAGAACGTGAGACTCCTATCTCCAATAAACCACCAGAAAACTGGAAGTGGCGCTGTAGCTCAAGTGGAAGAGCGCTCGCCTTGAGCTGAAGAGTTGAGGGTCAGCACCCACGCCCAGAGTTCAAGCCCCACGACCGACCAAAAAAAAAACAAAAAACAAAAAAAAAATCTCATGGAGGGGCTGAGATGGTGTCTCAGTGGTAGAGTGCTTGCCTTGTATGCATGAGGCCCTGGGTTCAATTCCTTAGCACCGCATAAGCAGAAAAAGAGGTAGAACACTAGCCTTGAGCTGAAAAGCTGAGGGACAGCGTCCAGGCCCAGAGTTCAGGCCCACGACTGACAAAAACAACAACAACAACAAAAAAGAATCTCATGGATTTTCCTGCCCAGGCTGGCTTTGAATAACAATCCTTACATCTCAGCCTCCTTAGTAGCTAAGATTACAGGCATGAGCTACCAGTGTCTGGTAGCTTTATAATTTTTACTGATAAGCTATGTTCTTTTTATTTGTGATTTATACTTTGCCAAAAATAAAAAGAATAACTCAAGGCAGTAATTAAAATGGAGGAAGAATAAAAATGGATTCAGTAGATTAGTCTGACACATGTCTTTAATCCAGCATTCAGGAGTAGAAGGCAGGAGAATCATGAAATCCAAGCCAATCTTGGATATGTAGGGAGATCCATGTTTCAATAAATAAACAAGCAAGCAAGCACATAAATAAACAAAAAGTATGCATCCCAGAATTATCTTAAGAATAAAATTAGGTATGGAACTTAGTAAGAACTTGGTAAGAATGTTTTACCTTAGCTGGGCACTGGTGGCTCATACCTGTAATCCTAGCTATACAAGAGACTGAGATCTGATGATCATGGTTCAAAGCCAGCCTGGGAAGGAAAGTCCATGAGACTCTTCTCTCCAATTAACTACCAGAAAACTGGGAGTGGCGCTGTGGCTCAAGCGGCAGGGGGCTCACCTTGAGCTGAAGAACTCAGGGACAGTGCCTAGGCCCAGAGTTCAAGCCCCATGACTCATACACACACACACACACACACACACACAAGAATGTTTCATCTTATGGTGGATGAACTCCATAGACTTTTTACTAACAAGCATTCAAAGTTTCTTCGAAGCCTGTATCATTTAATTTAGTGATTTTTTTTTTTTTGAGGCAGGTATCTGAAATCCTAAAACCATAAGTAGAAGAATATCAGGCAAGCTTCCTCCACAACCTGCAGAAAGTATCTGATACTGGAGAGTTCCTAATACAATGAATGTCTCTGAAACTCTACTTCGTCAAATACTAGTGTTTGCCAGAAGAAATCCTATAATATAGGAATTAAACAAAATTAAAAAGATTTATTTCTGGGTACATAATGCAGTTTGTCTTATTTCAAATTATTTATTTCATTTATGTGGTACTGAGGAATTGAATCCAGGGCCTCATGCCTGCTAGGCAAGCACTCTATCACTAAGCCACATTCCCCAGCCTGTCTTATTTCCCAAGGACATGATTATCGAGTTTTTATGTTGGGGCACAGCACAACTGGAAAAGTAAATATTCTTCAGAATATAGACAGAAATCCTAATCTAGACATGATAATTTAGTTCTTTTTTTTTTTTTTTGCCAGTCCTGGGGCTTGAACTCATGGCTTGGGCCCTGTCCCATAGCTTCTTTTGCTCAGGGCTAGCACTCTACTACTTGAGCCACAGTACACCACTTCTGACTTTTTCTTTCTTTCTTTCTTTCTTTCTTTTTGGGTCCGTTCATGAGGCCTGAACTCTGGGCCTGGGCACTGTCCCTCAGCTCTTCAGCTCAAGGCTAGTGCTCTACCTCTTGAGCCACAGCGTCACTTCTGGCTTTTTTCTTTTTGCTTATGTGGTTCTGTAGAATCGAACCCAGGGCCTCAGGCATGCAAGGCAAGCACTCTACCACTGAGCCACCTTCCCAGCCCCACTTCTGACTTTTTCTGTTTATATGGTACTGAAGAATTGAACCCAGGGCTTCATGCATGCTAGGCAAGTACTCTACCACTAAGCCACATTCCTAGCCCAATTTAGTTATCTATCCAATCACATAGTGAACATATTTGCTACTATATATTTGGACTTGGGGCTTTTGGGAGAAAAGTACAGTCTGTTAAGAAGCTCTTGTCTTAGATAGGAGCAATCATGATACCCTACAAATGATGCAATTGAGGCAAGGACTCATGGAACCAGTTAACAGTAGAAGCGAGTTTTGTAGAGTAATGGGGTTATTGTAACAAATCTCAGTGGGAGGGAACTGTCAGAAGGAGCAACACATGTGAAAGCACAGTGTAAGGAGAAGGAACACTACTGGTGATTTACTCTATATGTCTGTATTTACAGGGTCTTTTATGACATTTTCAATTTGGTTGAGATTGTGTGAATTATAAAGTGATTTTTGTCATTTTGCAGGATCACCTCACACCTTTTTTACTTGCTCTAAGGGAAAGCAAAGTACATGTGGCAGACCTTTTAATAAGGAAGGGAGCAAATATACATGCACTTGATGAATTTAGAAGGTATGTCTTTAAAAATGTAAACTTTAAGCTGGGCACCAGTGGCTCACACCTGGAATCCTAGCTACTCAGGAAGCTCAGATCTGAGGATCATGGTTTGAAAGCAGCTCAGGCAGCAAAGTCCATGGTTCTGTTAGCCACCAAAACCCAGAAGTGGAGCTGTGGCTAAAGTGGTAGAGTGCTAGCTTTGAGCACAAAAGCTCAGAGACAGCATCCAGGCCCCTGAGTTTAAGTCCCATGACTGATACACACACATACATACACAAAAATAAACCTCAATGATGCTCTAGTGTGATAATAATCACTCAAGTCAGATATTTAATTGATGGGAAGAAGATTAACCTATGCTCATCTGTGAACAAATGCAATCATGTAGAAACCATGAGGAAAATGACCTATATAACTGTGGACAGGGATGGGATGGGGAAATTGGGTAAAGCAAAGGAAGGGGTGACATTGTCTAAAAAAATAAATATACTCATTACATGACTTACAAAATGGTAACCCCTATACAAACACATTAAAAACAACAATAAAATTATATAAAAAATGTTGACATAAACCATCAGGTAGAAAAGCAATTATTTGTAGTAATACAAAAAGAACATAATGGAGTACATGCTCCCTTAATTAATTATTATTTGAATTTTGTTGGTCACATGATCATATGCTCACAGGGTTTCATTTTTCATTTGTTTTTGTTTTAAAATTATTTATTAAGCATAAATAAGAGTTGGAAATTCTAGTCTGTTGGATGACTCTGCCTTTTTTTCTTTCAATAGTCAAGTTTTTAATTTACTTGTTCATTTCTTGCATTTGAAGTACTCTTTGATGATATCCTTGGCCTAAGACTCTGTATATCGTCTTTAACGGCTACACAACTGCAACCAGCCATTTTTATGATTTTTCTTCCCTCTGGATCATTTTGCAGAGGCCTACCCACTCCTCTAGCTTTTTGTTGTTGTTGTTGTCATTGACCTTAAGATTGATTTGGTGTTCAGTAAAGGGTCTCCACCAACTGGACATACACGAGCTCATTACAATTCGAAGCAAACACACTCAGATATGTTTGGCTCTTGTGTAAGGCTTTGGCTGCTTGGTGAATTACACATGCTAGGCCTTGGTGGATGAGAGCGGTCTTCAGCACCTCTTGTAAACCAGTACAGAATTAATGTCCATTACACCTCCAGAAGCGGTGCTTTCCTCCTCCATGGCGTGGATTATGGGTGAAGCCAATCTCGCCTGCCTTGGCAGCTGCTGGGAAAGAGCTAGATGACTCTGCTTTAAGGCGATTCCATGGAAGAATATTGCTGTTAGGCTATTCCTAAATGACTCTTAATGGCCATTAGTGCTGTAAAGACTTGTTTCTTCTACCTGATTTAGTTTGATGCTTTTATTTTATGACAAAAGAAAAATAGATTTAACTGGAAAAACTTGAACTGTGAAGATGTCCTAGGTATATGATAAAGGCTTTGAAATCACTGCATTTAATTTCTAGCTTTCCCATATTCTATTTATGTGTCTTAGCAAAAATTATTTATCCCCAGATGCGTTCCATGAGATGAAAAAGAGGATAATAGCCTTTAAGGATAGTTTCAACACTATTTATCTACCATTTAGTTTATTGCCTTCCACCTTGTGATCAATATAATTAAACTACCGTATTAGTACTACTATTATTTTATCTATTTATTTATTTATTTATTTTTTGGGTCCAGTCGTGGAGCCTGAACTCTGGGCCTGGGCGCTGTCCCTCAGCTCTTCAGCTCAAGGCTAGTGCTCTACCTCTTGAGCCACAGCACCACTTCCAGCTTTTTTTCTTTTTGTTTATGTGGTGCTAAGGAATCGAACCCAGGGCCTCATGCATGCAAGGCAAGTGCTTTACCACTGAGCCACCTTCCCAGCCCCACTATTATTATTTTAAATACATTTTCATATTGTTACCATTATTCTATTCACACAAATAGATTTTACTTACATGAACATCAGCTGACCTGAAATTCAATGTGTTCCTTTGGATTAGGGAATAAGTGGGGAATTACTCATTTTACCTAGATAAATGACCTTAACACATTTATTATCCATTAAAGTCCACATTAAATGAGAGATTCTGGATATATTATCCCAGTGCAACAAAAGGTTCTCCGTTTGATTTTTCCTTTGAGCCTCAGAGATAATTTCCAGAGGCAAATATCAGAGCATATACCTGTCAGTAACTTTCTGCACAGACAGACAAGGTATCAAATTCGTAGTATTTATCTATTTATCTGTATAAATAACTCAGTGAAAGTAGCCAACAGTGACACTGTCTATGTTTTTTTAGAAATGCTCTCATGTATGCCGTAAGATGCGAATCAAAAGATATGATCGCGCTTCTTCTTCAACGAGGCATTGAGGTTTCCCATCAAGATGGTTTTGGATGGACTGCGTTACAATATGCAGCTGCAAGTCGTTCTAGGATGTAAGTGTTCACTTTAACATCGAGTAGAGGTTTAAAACAGTTACTATTACACTATTTCACTGGTTGATAAAGTTTTAGAAGGACTGTGAGTTAGTATACTTCATCAGTCAGTAACAAAGCAAAAAGACTAGTTAGAAGTAGCAATTTGTGCGGAATATTTTACCCCAGAACTTTTTTTTTGAGGGAGGGGATTGGGGGCTTTGGCAGTAATGGAGATTACTTGTAATTGGCAAGTGTTCTATCATTGAGGTGGATCTCTAGCCCCTAGATCAGGAATTTTAAGGCCTTTTTTTCTTAGGAATCCCAGCATGGGGTCTTTTACCTGGGATCTAGAGTATCACATCTTTGATTTTTGTAATTAGCTATTTGGGACTTGAAATGTTTAGTTGAGCTGAAAAATAACATTACTTTCTCCTGGGGGAAGAACCTAAGGAGTTCATCAAATATAAGAATGTCAGGGGCTGGGAAGGTGGCTCAGTGGTAGAGCCTTGAGCTTAAGAGGGACAGTGCCCAGGCCCAGAGTTCAGGCCCCACGACCGGACCCTCCCCCCCAAAAAAAAAGAATGTCAGTCTCCTTTCACAAGTCAGAGAGATGGGGGAAAAAGGGAGAATCTAATTACGCTTTTGTTTCTGTTGGTTCTATATCTGCAATGTTGCTGTTAAAACTGGGTCTGGGAGTCCAGAAATGATTTCTTTTACTACCTTGCTGCCCTTACTGACCTATACTGCTGAGTCTTTTTTTTTTTTTTGGCCCATTGTGAGGCCTGAACTCTGGGCCTGGGCGCCATTTCTCAGCTTTTAGCTCAAGGCTAGCGCTCTACCACTTAAGCCACAGTGCCACAGTGCCACTTCCAACTTTTTCTGCTTAAGTGGTGCTGAGGAATCGAACCCAGGGCCTCACGCATGCAAGGCAAGCGCTCTACCACTGAGCCACCTTCCCAGCTTTATTATTATATTTTTTAGTTCATCTGTACTTAGGTTTTTTGTTTTTGGTTGTGTGTTTGCTTTGTTTTGTCAATCCTGGAGCTTGAACTCAGGGTCTGAGCACTGTCCTTAACTTCTTTTGCTCAAGGCTAGTGCTCTATGACTTGAGCCACAGCACCATTTCTGGCTTTTTCTGTTTATGTGGTACCGAGGAATCAAACCCAGGGTTTTATGCATGCTAAGTAAGCACTCTACCATTAAGCCACATTCCCCACCCTGTACTTAATTAATGTATTTAAGCTCAGTATTTCCAAAGCTATCTGCTTTGGTAATGGGACCTCCTAGCTTTAAACAATCATATTGTTTGTAAAATGACCTTTTCTCATAATCACAATCTTACGTGGAGTCTACATCTTCCTGTAAATCCTCTAGGCAAGTTACCTTCTTAGGACTTTATCTTTTCTGCTAGCAAATACTAGTTGAGATCATTCTAAATTATCAGATTCAAATAGTGTTGGAGGAAGGGATTGGAGGTTTTTTTGTTTTTGTTTTTTATTCATTTCTATCTGAGACCAGGACTTGAACTTGGTATCTGACATTTTCACTCATTGGCTGGTGATCCACCATATGAGCCACTCCTTCAAACCCATCTTTTTGGTCATGGGGCTTGAACTCTGGGGCTGGGCTGTCCCTGAGTTCTTCAGCTCAAGGCTAGTGCTCTACCACTTGAGCCACAGTGCCACTTCCGATTTCTTGATGGTTGATTGTCCAATAAGAGTCTCACAGACTTTCCTGCTTTGAATCATGATCTTCAGCCTCCTGAATAGCTAGGATTACAGGCATGAGCCACCAACCCCATCTTTTTTAGTACTAGCTCTGGACCAAAGGTTCCTGAGTATCCTGTGTATTGTCTTAGATTATAAAAAATCCTGCATCAACTTTCCCACAATGCATGCCATTTTGCAACTAAGTACTCAAGTGATGTTTTTACTATTGTCACAGTAATGAGAATGTCCCCAAAGACTTTATGCCTCAAGCTTTCAAGATATTTTCAAATGCTGTCTCACAAGGAAAACAAAATTCTCTGATCTGAAGTATACTGGTTGGATATAAGAGCTAAACAGCATCATTCCTTATTTGTGTCCATGGCTTTTTTTTTCCCTTTTTGTAAATTCCAAGTAAGTTGGAGATAAACATGTAGATTGAACATTATTATAACAAATGTGCTGTTGAAAAATTGGTTAGATAGGTTGATTGACTTTATGTGCTTAGTGTGATTGATTAAATACTGAACAATATTTTAATCTAATTTTAGTATTTGCATATTAGTGAAAATTTAGTTATAAATTGTTAAATAGCTGATTTGTTATGAATCACAAACTGCAAATAATTGAACAGCTATTATCCAAAACTTGGGCTTAAATTTTCCGGATACTTGCAAAAGACACACACATTGGATTATATTTAGGATTCCAAAACTGTTCAGCATTAAGGAACAAATTATCTGGTCCTGGTGACTCACACCTATAATCCTAGCTAATCAGGATGCTGAGATCTGAGGATCACAGTTGGAAGCCAGCCTGGGGAGGAAAGTTCATGAGACTCTCCCCTTAATCACTAAAAAGCTGGAAGTAGAGCTGTGGCCAGCCTTGAGTGAAAAAGCTAAGGGAGAGCACTCAGGCTCTGAGTTCAAACCTCAGTACCAGCATGCATGTGTGTGTGCTAAAAGAAACAGATTATATCATTGCTCTATTATTTACATACACGATTGTGTATGTTGTTATATTATTTCATTAAATCTTCACAGCAGCCAGCAGAACTGAAACAATAAAAAGAAAACTTTGAGCCCAAGAGAAACAATTTTCCCAAGAAAACCAGCTATTGGTTACGAAGCTAAGACTTTTACTGTGATGTGTCCTTATGTCAAGCACATCTAGTTCATGTGCTATGCTATCATGTACTACACAGTGATTTCCCTTTATTTTTCTTCTTTAACTACAAGCCTAATGAAGTTTTAGAGCTTACAACCTTTAAAGATGGAAAAAATTTTAATAATATCTCTGATATTGTCTGAAACATTCCTAAGAATTTCACAAATTTGACCTTTTTTTCTTATTAACATTAAAATGATAATTTCCTTACTTTTATGTGGCAGCTGGAACATACTTTTGAACTATGAAGAACACGAGCTTAATAATTTACAAGAGAGCAATACAGGTAGGAGCAAATTACCGGAATTACTTCTGATAGTCCTATATATAATAGGTCATAGTAAGGAAGTTTAGATTCCAAGAGTGGTTTAAAAGGCCAAGTGTAACTTGTATTTTCAAGTTTCATAATTTCTCTGTTAATAGGGCTCAGAATGAGTAAGGAAATGACACAAAGTTTACAATCTGAAACAGTGTTGTCTAAAAAGGAATTACTTGATCCTTGGTCCTTGAAACCTCAGATATCTTTGTGTAAATAAGAAAAAGGCTGGTAGAGTGGCTCATGTGGGAAAGGGCTTCCCTGGCTAGCCCAAGGCCTTGAGTTCAAACCCCAGTAATGGCAAAAAAAAAAAAGAAAAAAAAGTATGTATTTGTTTGCCCAGCACCAGTGTCTCCTGCCTAGCTACTCAGGAGGCTGAGACTGAAGATCATGGTTTAAAGCCAGCCTGGCATGAAAGTCTGCGACTCTTAATTCCAATGTACCAGCAAAAATGTGGAAGTGGAACTGTAGCTCATGTGGTAGTGCACAGCCTTGAGTGAAAAAGCTAAAAGACACTGCCCAGACCCTCACCTGAGCCACTGCTCCACTTCCAGCTTTTTGTTGCTTAATTGGAGTTAAGATTCAGCTCTGGCTGAATTTGAATCATGAGCCTCAGATCTGAGCTTTCTGAGTGGCCAGGATTACAAGTATGAGTCATCACTACCTGATTTATTTTCTTATTTTTATATCATTTTATAATAATTATTATTTGTGATGCAGAGGATTGAATTTATGGCATCCCACATACTAAGCAATTACTCAGCCATTGAGCCACAACCTTAGCCCAAGGGAAATTCTTATAGGTTCATAGTGATTTTTTGTCATATTTTACCTGAAGTGAAAAGGAATCAAAGTTTTCTGTCTCATTTTGCATGTGGACGCATGTGTGCGCGCACACACACACACATACACACACACACACACACACCACTCATATGAATCTATCAACTTTTGCCTAGCAACTTGCTACCACCCAATATCACTAGCTGTGACTATTACCTATAGTTCAGAGTTCCTAATCTCTGATGATAGCTCAAAGAATTTTTTCCATGGGAGACAAAATAATAACTACATTCAAGCCATGATTTTCTCACAGGAAAAATAGAAAGAACAGCTTATTAGTATCTTCCCCAGAAGAGAACTAGGGAGAATCAGCATCACACTGATTTGTCTTGAGCTCTTGCCATCCAACAGCTGAAAAGACTATGCAGATGCTTGTGTCTGTATTTTATCATCCAGTGCCAGTAGATTGAACATCCTTGTAACAGGGTAAATAGTTTTCACCAAATTCTCAGAAAAGCTGTGTTGTGTCATTAAAAAAGTAAGAATACACAGACAGAAAGACAAACAGAGAGATAGAGAGACAGACAGACAGAGAGACAGAGAGAAAGTGTCTTGGGACTTGAACACAGAGCCTCAGTGCTATCCCTGAGCTTTTGTGCTGCAGATTAGTACTCTACTACTTTGAGCTGCAGCTCCTTTTCCAGCTTGTTGGTAGTTGATTGGAGATAAGAGTCTCATGAATTTTCATGCCCAGTTTGGCTTTGAACCGTGAACCTCAAATCTCAGCCTTCTGAATAGCTAGGATTATAGGTGTGAGCCTGTATTCTTTTAAGAATTATTCCTAGTGCCATTTTCTTTCTAGAAAAATCAAGCTTATTGCCTGACACTGTCAGTTTATGATACAGCTTCTGCTACTGACACTATTTACTGATATTTTCTGACAACATAGCCCTCAAGTTGATTATGGCCATTATACACAGTTTTCTTTTAGGAATCAAAATTTGATCTTTGTATCCAATGACTGCGAAGAAGTGGAAGAGTTCTGAATGTATAACAACCTATCAGAAGTATTTAATTAGAAGTTAATTAATATTAACTCTAGACTGTTCTTCAGGTATAGTCCCTGAATGCTTGCTACCAAAACATCAATTTATGTTTTGATATTTTGTGTGCTTAAAATTTATTTAAGCTGGGAGCTGTAATGCTAGCTATGCAGGAGACTAAGATCTGAGGACCATGGTTCAAAGTCCAAGAGTCTCTTACCTCCAATTAACTACTGGGAAGCCAGAGTCGTGCTGTGGCTCAAAATGGAAGAGCACTGTCCTTGAGCAAAAGAGCTCAGGGACAGTGCCCAGGCCCTTAATTCAAGCCCCACAACCAACAACAACAAAAAACACCTATATAAAATATATTTTCTCTTTTTTCTTTAATAGCATCTAGTAGCTCTGAAGACAACTCTTTAACCAGGTACGTTTATTATTTCCTATAGTCATTACAACATATTTGTAAAATATTTGCACTATTATGACCTGTTTTTATTAATTATGCTATGCAGCTGTCATTCAGAGAGGCTGGTTAATCAATGAAGTTTTCCCCTTTTTATATGGCCTTTGTTTTCTTTTTCCACCACTAAAATCTGTTCTTAATTTTTACAATCTTTTCTGCTTTCCTTTTTGTTTCGTCTATAATTTCTGTCAGCTAAGTATTCCTTTTTTTTGTGGAGAGAATTAGAAGTACAAAGAATTTCATAATTGAAAGAAAATCATTAAAGGTAATCAAAACAATCTGTAGTGTCTCAACTTAAATGTAACATTTTGGACAAATGGTTGTTATGATGGAGAACATAAAACACAAGGATTAGCATTAAAGTGATTGTTCTGGATATAGGAAATGGTATAAGTGAAATTTAATCTCATGGTCCTAATTTCTAAGGCCAGTTGCCTTTCTTATTTGTTATTATATAGGTGGGTTTTACTATTGCCAATGGAATAGGGTAAGAATGGAGTTACCAATGAAACCAACAGTAGAGGATGGGAGTAAGGTTAAGAAGGGAAGGGGAAACTTAAAAGGAAAAATGCTGTGTTGGGGTGGAATAAGAATTTGAAATAAAAGGGGGGTGGGGGAGGGATGGGAAGGGTAAACAAAGGAGGAGGCTACAATGCTTGATAAGGAATGTACTCACTATCTTGCCCATGTAATTGTAACCCCTCTGTACAGTATTTTCACAATAAAAAATTAAAAAAAAAGAATTTTAGAGAAAAGATCTGAATACTAAACTTAATCAAATTTGGTAAATGTAATACAGGAAGTGGTCACATAGGATATTGAATGTTACTTAGAAAGGCATATTAAAAGTAGGTATCTAAGGGAATCCTCAAAAATGTGTTGCTTAAGAAGGAAAAAAAAAAAAACAATTGTGTGGCTGGGTGTCAGTGGCTCACTCCTCTAATCCAGGTATTTAGAAGGCTGAGACTTGAGAATATGGTTCAAAGCTGGCTGGAGCAGAAAGGTGCATGAGACTCTTATCTCCAATAAACTAATACAAAAAAAGCTGTAAATAGTGCTATAGCTCAAGTGGTAGTCTTGAGCACAAAAAGGCTCAGGGACAGCATACAGACGCTGAGTTCAAGCTCCAGGACAGGCAACAAACAAACAAACAAAAACAAAAACAAAACAAAAAACTGTTGGAACTGACAATTGTCAAGATTTCTGTTGCAATTTTTTTTTAATAATTTGAGTCCTGGGAAGAGTATGTACAGCAGATAGGAATGTAGCATCATTGACAAAAATCTCAATTTACACAGTAGATTAGAATCTCTCTAGTACCAAGGGACTGGATATAGCTGAATGACATCTGTGGCCCAATGGAGATGTTTCCTCAAATCCCTCTCCTCCATTCCCAACTTACTGAGGTACTTCATATGCATATGTACAATAGTAAGGGTTCAGATTGGCTGGCGCGGCGATTACAGTTGGAAACAAGCCCGCACCGAGAGCAGGTAGTTACCTCCATTTAGCTCTTTTCAGGGGCAGGAAATACCAAAATTCCGCCCTTGGTCCTTTGTACACATACTTCTTTCAGGAAATCTACACCTTCTTCCTACACTGAAGACTTGAAGTGATAGAGACTGTCACTGAGCCCATAGGAAGGAAGATGCTTAGAGTATTTAGATTCGAGGACTCTGCTTGTGAAGTATCTCCTCTGAAGTATCTGAGTTATGTATGAAGCCCTAAACAAGAGAAGACCCAACTGGGAAAATAGATTTCATAATTTTTTTTTTTTGAGTTGGTTGTGGGGCTTGAACTCTGGGTCTGGGTGCTGTCACTGAGCTCTTCAGCTCAAGGCATAGTGCCACTTCTGGTTTTCTGGTGGTTAATTGGAGATGAGTCTCACAACCTTTCCTGCCCAGGCTACTTTGAACCATGATCCTCAGATCTCAGCCTCTTGAGTAGGATTACAGGTGTGAGCCACCAGTGCCCGGCTAGATTTCATAATTTTTAATGTTATATTCTCTCTCTAGGAAGAACATTCTCTTTTTTTTTTTTGATCCGGTCGTGGGGCCTGAACTCTGGGCCTGGGTGCTGTCCCTCAGCTCTTCAGCTCAAGGCTAGCGCTCTACCACTTGAGCCACAGCGCCACTTCCGGCTTTTTCTGCTTATGTGGTGCCAAGGAATTGAACCCAAGGCCTCATGCATGCAAGGCAAGCACTCTACCACTGAGCCAGCTTCCCAGCCCCCTGGGTTCTTTTTTATAGGTGCTTTTTATGCCGAAGAGCCAGCACTGCCATGGCTGCTGGTTACACAGCCTGGGTTTTTAACTAGGACTAGTTGGAGAAGGGAGAGTGTATCATTCTACATCATTTTAGGTAGAAAAAGTTTTGTGAGCATTAATTAGATTTCAGTTCGGCCTTTAGGATCGTCCATTTATGATGAAGGCTCAATGTTATTATCATTGTCATTATCATTATTTTTTGTGCCAGTCCTAGGGCTGAACTCAGTACTTGGGGTGCTATGCCTGAGATTTTGTACTCAAGGATAGTGCTCTACCACTTGAGCCACAGCTCCACTTCCAGCTTTTTGGTGATTAATTGGAGATAAGAATCTCATGGTCTTTTTTTTCTGCCCTGGCTAGGCTTGAAGGACAAACCTCAAATCTCAGCCTCCTAAGTAGATAGAATTGCAGGCATGAGCCACCAGCACTTAACCTGGCTTTTTTTTTTTTTTTTTTGTTGGTCAGTCGTGAGGCCTGTACTCTAGGCCTGGGCACTGGTCCTCAGCTCTTCAGCTCAAGGCTAGTGCTCTACCACTTGAGCCACAGCGCCACTTCCGGCTTTTTCTGCTTATGTGGTGCCAAGGAATTGAACCCAAGGCCTCATGCATGCAAGGCAAGCACTCTACCACTGAGCCAGCTTCCCAGCCCCCTGGGTTCTTTTTTATAGGTGCTTTTTATGCCGAAGAGCCAGCACTGCCATGGCTGCTGGTTACACAGCCTGGGTTTTTAACTAGGACTAGTTGGAGAAGGGAGAGTGTATCATTCTACATCATTTTAGGTAGCAAAAGTTTTGTGAGCATTAATTAGATTTTCAGTTCGGCCTTTAGGATCGTCCATTTATGATGAAGGCTCAATGTTATTATCATTGTCATTATCATTATTTTTTGTGCCAGTCCTAGGGCTTGAACTCAGTACTTGGGGTGCTATGCCTGAGATTTTGTACTCAAGGATAGTGCTCTACCACTTGACTCATAGCCTACCTCTGGCTTTTTGGTGATTAATTCAAGGTAAGTATCTCATAGACATTCCTGGCTGGGCTGGCTTCAAACCATGATTCTCAGATCTCAGCCTCCTGAGTAGTTAGGATTACAGGCACCTGGTGAAGGTTCAGAATTTGTATATATTGGCTGTCACTATCTGATATGGAACAAAGAATGTTTCATAGGTTTTTCATTTTGTTATACATTTTTGTTTTAAAGGTGTTCCGATGAACCTTTTCCCCAAGTTTTCTCATCTATTTCAAAGCAAGGTGATGGTAATTCTCATAGCAAGGTAAAGTACTCCTTTGTGAAATTAATTTTCTAGCTCTGATTTTTGTTTTAGGCAATTGCGCTGAGTTTGCATATGTATAGCAACGCGCTTAGACTTAATACGTTTTACTTCATTTATTTAAACACTTCAAATGCAATCCATACGAATAGCTAACTCTTAGGCCTACTTGTACTAAGCGTGCCCCACACCCAGGGGAGCTCACGTGGCACCGCACTTGGTCCGGAGGTCCAGGGGAGTCTGCTGAGGGTATGAGTCGCTGGAGGAGCGGCAGGCTTCCCAGCGGAGGGTCGATCCGACGTGGAGTCACTAGCTCGGGAGTCACTGCCCTGGGCTTTTGCATGTTTTAGGCTGGCCCTTCATTTCTGGCTGTGTCTGATTACCAGGGTTGCCTCGATGGCAGCTCTGCTTCTGGTCTGGTCTGGCAATGGATGAAGGCGGTGCTGGCTTGCCTCTGGCTGGGTCTGGTTATCTGGTGGGCTAGTTGCCTTGGTGATGGCTTTGTAGGCTCTCTTGTGTGTCCTTATCGTTCACAGTTCTCACTTCTAACTTCTAACTCCTAATTTTACAACTTAACATTTCATATCACACATACATTTCATATATTCTTATTCAATAGCCACCATATCAATGTTCAATAACACATTATGTTAGTATTCAATAACACACGATGTCAATATTCCACAATATTAACTCCATTAATGCTTACTTTTAAAACTTAGGCATGTTCTATTCCATCATTGTTTTATATAGAATTATGTGTAGTTGATTGGAGATAGTAGGGACTGCAGAATGGTGTGAGAAACACATGGCAACAGGAAAGTTTATTCACAGTACTTTTCCCACAGTACAGGTAATTTGGCTAAGTATTGTTTGCTGTGACTTTTAGTTTATACTAACAGGGCTTTTATATTTCTCAAATGTTAATAAATCTCTACTGGATCCAATGAGTAATTATAGTAATCAAATTACAGACCTCAAATAATTTCTCTAGTGCATTTAGTTTCAAACGATGTGCAGATTTTTCTTGGAAACTTAATTTTTTTTTAATTTAAAAAGTTTTAGTACCATAGAGCATTTAGGAAAGTTAATAAAAGTTTTTCTTTACACTTGGCTCTCTGTTTAGACTAAAATAATAGTAGGAAGTATGGAAATTTATAAATTTAAAAAAGTTCTCAAAATTTATATCACAAAGGGATTTTAGTATGCTTTCTTTCTTTCTCTCTCTCTCTCTTTTTTTTTTCCGTTAGTTGTGGGGCTTGAACTCTGGGCTTGGGTGCTTGTCCCTCAGCTCTTCAGCTCAAGGCTAGAGCTCTACCACTTGAGCCACAACACCACTTCCAGTTTTCTGAATGGTTTATTGGAGGTAAGAGTCTCACAGACTTTCCTGCCCATGCTGGCTTTGAACTATGATCCACAGATCTCAACCTCCTGAGTAGCTAGGATTATAGGCATGAGCCACCGGCACCCTGCTTTATTGTATTTTCTAAAAAATTAAGAATCTGTGTGAAACTGTCCATGTAACTGAGGAATACATGATCTGTTTCAAATACTAATCAGAATCAGAGACTCTCATTAGTCATATGAGAATACTTTAATTTTAGAAATTGTTTGCATTCTTTCCGGGTACTGGTGGCTCATACCTGTAATTCTAGCTACTCAGGAGACTGAGATCTGAGGGTCATGTTTGGAAGCCATCCTGGGCAGGAAAGTCTGTGAGACTCAACTCCAATTAAATACCAGAAAACCAGAAGTAGAGCTGTGGCTCAAGTGCTAGAGCACTAGCCTTGAACAAAAGCTCATGAACAGTGCCAAGGTCCTGAGTTCAAGCCCCAGAACTGGCGCACACACACATACACACGCACACACACACACACACGCACACACACACACACACACACACACACACAGTCCTTGTTATTCTAACATTTCAAATTTTATATTTTGTAATTAATGATTTAAATATTCATTTAAAGTTCCTGCCCTGAGCTATACAAGTTTAGGAAACCTGTGTATATCCTGTAGCCTCTAGACTGAGGTCTTGAATAAGTATGTAGAATAAGTAAATTAACATTATTAATGTAAATATATGAATAGATAAATGGATTTTAAAATGGAATGTTACATGCAATGTAATGTACATTAAACATCTACTAATTATTAAATTTCTAAAAATGTGTAAGCGTTTCTCTAGCATTTAGGATGTATGAGTTCAGCTAAGTAATTCTGAGGAAGATTTAATTAAGAAAACTTAGAGAAACATTATCAACAGGAAAGAAATTTTAGTATATTTCTAGTATTCTCCAATTAGGACTTTAAAGACTTTAGAATATATTTCTGAAAATTTTAATCTGATGCAATGCCAATCTCCTTACATACACACACACATATATATATATATATATACTTTTAAAAAATCAAAGTTATATGTGTATATATATATATATATATATATTCCAAGCTCTATATTACTCTTTAGAATTCTAATTACCTTTCTGGGCATTGTTCACATCTGTAAATTCTAGCCACTGATAAAGCTGAGATCTGAGGATTGAGATTCAAAGCCAGCTTGGGCAGAACAATCTGAGAGATTCCACTCTCCAGTGAGCCAACAAAGTGATTGAAGTGTAGCTCAAATGGTCCAGTGCCAGCTGTGAGCAAAAAAGCCAAGTGAGAGCCCTAGGCCATGGGTACACACACACACACACACACACACACACACACACAAATTCTGATGTCCATACTCCAAGTGGAGAATTAAAGTAACATTTCTTTTACCAGTTTTTTTTTGCTCTGATAATGTTTCAGTGTTCAGGTTGTGGTATTTAATGACATGTCAGATTGATTTGTATAGCAATGAAATTGAAGTCTATTATAGTAATACTTAAAAATTGTAGCATCATCAGTATCATTAGGGACATATTATTAAAAGTTCCTATGACATTCCTTTACACATTTTGTGGGGTTTTTGTGATATTGAGGATACATGAGCACAAATGGGGATTTTACTGTCACATTTCCATGCATGGATACAATCAGCCCTCTCCCTATCTCTCCTTCCTCTTCTTTCATTGTTTTGTTTTCATACATGTTAACAGTCTACTTCAACCCTATTCATTCTCTTTTGCTCTTGTTAGCCCAACTCTCCCTTGCTGGTACCCATACCCAAAGAGCTGGTTTCTCTTTCCCTGTTCCTAACCCATTATTGATCAACAGCTTTCATTGATATTATGAAAAAAATTGCACTTTAAAATAGAATTTCACATTTTTTTTACAACATACTGCTTCTTCAGAAACACCTAATTCCAGGCTGGGTGTCGGTGGCTCATGCCTGTAATCCTAGCTACTCACGAGGCTGAGATCTGAGGATCTTGGTTCAAAGCCAGCCTGGGCAGGAAAGGCTATGAGACTCTTATCTCCAATAAACCTCTCAGAAAACTGGAAGTGGTGCTGTGGCTCAAGTGGTAGAGTGCTAGCCTTGAACCAGGCCCAGAGTTCAAGATCACAACTGACCATAAACAAAAACAAAACCAAAAAAACCCCCACACTTAATTCCATAATCACATAAGAATCTCTCTCCTATAATTGAGATTCAACCTGACTTTAAGCCCTACAACAGACCAAAAAAATACTTGAGATTCAAGTGTTGTTGTTTTTAGATTAATCAGTCTTACTATGTTACTGAGATTGTCCTCAAATTCCATAGTCTAATGGACCTATGGTGCCAGCAATCCTGACTTATAATTAAGTTTTCAGTAATGAGTTTTCTTTCCATGTGTGCTTGACTTTTTCACTCAATGTTGTAGCTCTACCATTTGAGTCATACCTTCACCTCCAAATTTTTGCTGGTTAGTTGGAGATAAGACTCTCAGAGACTTGTTATCTGCCTGAACTGATTTGAATCTCAATCCTTAGATCTCATCCTCCTAAGTAGCTAGTATTGCCACCATTGCTTTTAATAATGATTTTATTTTAATTCCAGCCCTCAAGAAACTGAGAGAGAAGGATTGTAAATTTGAGACCAATCTCAGCTATATAGTAAGATCCTGTCTCAAACCCCTGCACTTCAAAAAGCTTTATTTCTAGGAGAAATCTTGTAATTTCTCACCTTGTTTAACATTAAATCTTTTGGAATTAAGTATTGCCATTAACTTTAAAAATGCACATTACAATTTGAAATTAAAAATGTATATTAAATTGTATCACAGAAAGAATGGAAACACATCATATGTGAAAGAATTATTAGTTTACTTAGATTTTCAAGAATGTTACAGAAAAGGAAAACATGAGAAATTGTAAATTTGAGGTATTGCCATAACAATTCAGCTCCATGGTGTAGGAAGCACTTTCATAAATTGAATGCTTTAAGAGCCTTTATGGCAGATATGCTTGAGATGAGATAAATATACCTAAAAGTGACCTATTTAAAAGTGGTCACTAGGAAGAAAGATATGGAAAAGACCTGAACCCTTAGGTATAAAGAGCTTCAGCACTGGTAACAGCACATTGGTAGAGTATAATACATCCAATCCCTGTTTGTCATCTAGGACTTAGGTAAAAAGGGACAAAACAATTTACCTCAGTTGAATTTTATGGTCTTTATTAGGGGTGGCACTAGGTCTACATTTAGATGGCTGGAATGTAGAAATGGCATAAGAAATATGAAATTAATCAGTGACATGTGAAACAAGTATACTGTGCAAGATGAAATGATCCCCAGAGCATTAAATGACATAAAATCAATATTGAAGATACCTTACTGAGCTTGAGGGTAATAAAATGGCAGTACTATTAGTAAAATAATAGAAAATTGAATGGGGACAAATGTGCTTTTATTTTGGTGTGGGACAAATATTAGTAGCCTATTTATGGGAATATCCTCCAGGAATATAGGTGTTTGCTACTTGATTTGCTACTTGGTTTGCTCCTAGAATTTTAATTTTAATTTAATTTTTATTTTTTGTCAGTCATGGGGCTTGAACTCTGGGCTTGGGCACTGTCCCTCAGCTCTTCAACTCAAGGCAAGCACTCTACCACTTGAGCCACAGTGCCAACTTCTGGTTTTCTGATGGTTTATTTGAGATAAGAGTTTCACAGATTTTCCTGCCCAGGCTGCCTTTGAACTATGATCCTCATATCTCAGCCTCCTGAGTAGCTAGGATTACAGGTGTGAGCCATTGGTACCTGGCTAAATTTTAAATGTTTTGACTTTGCATATTGAGTTTGCTGCTGAGTAAAGTCACTGTATGCTAGGCAGTTAAAACACTGAGTAACCCCTCTGTACAGCATGTTCACAAATAAAATAAAATAAAATAAAATAAAATATATTAAAAACAAAACAAAAAAAACAAAACACTGAGTAAACCAGACTAGGATTACGCTATAGTTTTTGAAACAGGACAATGTCTGGGATGGAGCTCAGTGGCAAAATGCTTACCCAGCAAATGCAATCTCCAGTACCAAAAACCCCCCAAAACCCACAAACAAAACAAAACAGTGGAAAACAGGAAAAATAAACAGTAAATACTGTAAGTTAGTGTAGATGATCCATATAAAAAATAAAAGGAGTTAGATGTAGTCACAGAGGCCATTTTCCTGGGTGTGATAGTTAAGTTGCAAATGTGTGAGCCATGTGGAAGTCTCTGAGGAGCACATTCTGGACAGAGATCAGTAAGTGACATCTGTTCATGGAGTTACTTTTAACATTCCAGAATAATCAGGAAGCAGGAACTAAGGTAATCATCTCAATAGCCATTTTTTCTTCTCCCTCCTTCTCTTGCTCTTCCTTCTCTTTCTGCTCCTTCTTTTTTTTTTTTTTTTGGGTCTGGTCGTGGGGCCTGAACTCTGGGGTGCTGTCCCTCAGCTCTTCAGCTCAAGGCTAGCGCTCTACCACTTGAGCCACAGTGCCACTTCCGGCTTTTTTCTTTTTGCTTATGTAGTGCTGATGAATTGAACCCAGGGCCTTGAGCATTCAAAGCAAGCTCTCTACCACTGAGCCACCTTCCCAGCCCCTTTCTGCTCCTTCTTTTTCTCCTCCTTCTCTTCCTCTCATTCACTCTCCTCCCTTCCGCCTATTCTCCTCCTCCCCTCCTCCTCCTCTCTCTCCTTCTTCCTTCTCCTTCTTCCTTTTTCTCCTCCCCCTCTTTTCTTCCTCCTCCTTCCCCTCCCCTTTCCTCCTCTTCCTCCTCCTCCGCTTCCCTTCTTTTTGTCTTTTTGTGCCAGTACTGGGGCTTGAACTCAGGGCCTGGGGACTGTCCCTTAACTTTTGTTTCTCAAGGCTTGAACTCCACTTCTGGCTTTTTGGTGGTTAATTGGCGATAGGAGTCTCATAGACTTTTCTGCCCTGGATGGCTCCTCAGATGTCAGCCTTCTGAGTAGCTAGGATTACAGGTGTCAGCCACTGGTTCTAGGCTCATTTATTCTTTATGTAATATGTAAGCAAGAAAATACACAAGTATGTGGTGTATTTCAGACACATCAAATGTAAATGTACTTGTGCTTCCCTCTTACTGAGGCTTCCTGTATAGTTCTTTCCTAACTAGGAAAAAGTTGCACATCATCTTTAGAATTTCCATGCACTTATTTAAACATAACCTGAAGAAAAGTGTTTCCTGCTACTTTTTCAAAACCTTTTTACTGTTGTGACATCTTTACATAATGTTCATAAAACTTTGTTTACCTGATGAAGCAGCATTTAATGTGTCCTGTTTATACTTAATATGACATACCTGAGCTCAAGCCAACTATCTTAACACCAAATATGTCCCAATGGAAGTAGTATTAATAAAGGTGTTTATAACAATGTATTTAAAGATGTATTTTGAAAAAGATCATCATGTGTGTGGATTTCAAGATTGCATATTCTTAAGTTGTTTTCTTTGTTGATTGTATGCAAGCACAATAATTGTGTCCATGAATGTATTGCCTCTCAACTTCCATGGCTAGTTTAGAAAGTTAATGTCCATATGAAGGTAAAAGATTAGCTTGATATACAGAGCATACATGAAGTTCTTCATTGAGATGTTCTTGATTTTCATGGTCTCCTCTTTTAAAGTTTGTTTTCAAAGTAGGACATTCAGCTATCTACTTAGAAAATGATTGATGAAACTTTCTGCAAGTTATGATTGTTATCACTCTTAATAGAGTATCTCTGAGAGTTTTCCAGAGAAGAGTATTGCTAATTTCCTTGGAGATGCAAAACAAATTGGAGAAAATACAGAAGATCAGATGGAAGGTAAGAATTATGTATTATAAAACTAATTTGACTATTTAAAATAGGAGCAATGATCTTTTCTTGGGACCAAAGTGTACATGTCAAATGCTTCCTTGTTGAAAGAGAAGTTTAATGTGAATATACGTCCTATCAACTTTCAGCATCAGTGGTTGTCAGAGAGGGAGCTGAACCACAAGTGCTGAGTGCCATTCCAAGATCAGCTCATACCTGAGGAAATTTAGGAAACAATGAAGAAGAAAGGAACAGAGATAATGAAGAATAAGCAAGGCAGAGGGAACTGGGAGTGAGTGAAACATGAAGAGGAAATTGTGTATGGTGGAGTGTGGGAACATAAAGCGAATCCTTAGAAAAAAAAGGGCATGGTATTAGAAATATGGGAGAAATACAGAGAGAAGTTTATATCATCAAAATAGTTGGAAAGTGGAATAAAATGTTCCTAGCTTTCTTGTCATCTTCTTGTCAGTTGTGAAGATATTTAAAGATTTCTGTACTGGATTATGCAGAGCCATGTTTTATTTTCTAGTGGTAATAAAACATAAGATCAGTGATATATATTTTCAATTTAATGCCATACAAATACTTGTTTTCTGTAAACCAGAATTAAGAGAATTGGACAGAAGAAAAGCATAGAATTAGTAATGAAAAGATCAGGAAAGTCATTGCTAGGTCAAAATTTCATTGCATAGTTTAAGTCATTCCATGGAATTTGAGACTAGATTCCAAGTTAACATAAAGGAGTTTGGAAGCAGATTCCATGGATACCAGGGCTTCTCTAACTTTACAGAAACTTTGGGATAATGTCTTGACTTTGCTGGTCAGGGAATCTGTATTTCTGAAGTTCCCAGTTCCAAGTCTTCTGACCACCCTCTGAGTAGCACTGTGATGCTTCCTTTTAAAGAAATTGAGATAGTTGGGTACTAGTGATTCATGTCTATAATGCACTCCTGAAATCCTAGCTTCTTAGGAGACTGAGATCTGAGGATCACAGTTCAAAGCCATCCTGGGCATAAAGACATAAGAGACTCATATCCCCAATTAACTACCAAAATCTGGAAGTAGAGCTGTGGATCAAGTAGTAAAGCACTAGCTCTGAGCACAAAAGCTCAGGGACAGTACCCAGGGCCCAAGTTTGAGCCCAAGGACCAGTACAAAAAAAAAGAAGAGGTAACAAGTTCAACAAGAAATGTACTTACTACCTTACTTATGTAACTGTAACCCTTCTATACATCACCTTGACAATAAAATTAAAATAATAAAAATACAAAAACAAAAGAAAAAAAAGAAGATAAAAAGCCAGAGGGTAATAGTTCAAGACAAGAGGACTAGGAAAAGCATAAAATTTGCTTCATTTCTAGAGGAAGAAGCAAGGGGAAGAAGAAATACAAATTAGTAGGTCCTACTGTGAACAAGGAAGAATTATATGGTGGGAAATTTCATAAAAATAATATAAAATAGAATAAATGCCATAGCTCTAACAATTACTTTTGAAAAGGAGGGAAATTTTAGTGGAAAGCAGGAAGAGCAGAGAGCATGTCAATAGGTAATTTTGGAGTTAGAAATGAGAACATTTGAGACAACTCACCTCCGATGGTGTCAGTATGTATGTATGCATGTACGTATCCATTGGAAACAGAGACAAGATCAGCCCTGCTACAGAGATTCCTGCCAGTCAGGGGGCTGCTAGAACCGGGTAAACTGCAGCCATCCATTTCTCCATAATTAACAAGCATCAACAATTCAGAGTTTATAAACACTACTTAATCAGATTAGATTAATTTGGATTAACATTAACTGATTTAACAAAGACAGCTAGATTTTCCATTTGTTCCATAAAATCCCTTTGGAGAAAGATGACATATCCAGACAATGTACTTTTTAAAAAGTTGCAGTTAATTTAATGAGAAAGTAGTTATTTTTAGTAAACATTATATGGGGGGCTGGGAAGATGGCTCAGTGGTAGAGCGCTTGCCTTGCATGCCTGAGGCCCTGGGTTCAATTCCTTAGCACCACATAAGCAAAAAGAAAAAAGCCAGAAGTGGCGCTGTGGCTCAAGTGGTAGAGTGCTAGCCTTGAGCTGAAGAGCTGAGGGACAGCGCCCAGGCCCAGAGTTCAGGCCCCACGACCGGACCCCCCCCCCCAAAAAAAATACAATGCTGGGAGCCAGTGGCTAATTACTATAATCCTAGGTACTTAGGAGGCTGAGATCTGAGGATCGTGGTTGGAAGCCAGACCAGACAGGAAAGTCTGTGAGACACTTACTTCCAATTAACTACTAAAAAACTGGAAGTGGAGCTGTGGCTCAAGTGGTAGAGACCAAACCTTGAGTAAAAAAAGCTCAGGGTCAGAGTCTAGGCCCTGAGTTCAAGCCCCAGGATCAACACACACACACACACACACACACACACACACACACACACTCCCTTTAAATCTGGCTCATATAACTTCTTTGATTGAAAACACACACAGGGCTGCTAAGTTGTCTCAGTGGTAGAGCACTTGCCTTGCATGCCTGAGGCCCTGGGTTCGATTCCTCAGCACCACATAAGCAAAAAGAAAAAAAGCCTGAAGTGGCTCTGTGGCTCAAGTGGTAGAGCACTAGCCTTGAGCTGAAGAGCTGAGGGACAGCGCTCAGGCCCCACAATTGGATCCAAAAAAAGAAAGAAAAAGAAAACACACACACACAAGGGACTGGCAATGTGGCTTAGTGGTAGAGTGCTTGCCTCACATGCATGAAGCCCTGGGTTCAATTCCTCTGTATCACATACACAGAAAAAGCCAGAAGTGGTGCTGGGGCTCAAGTAGTAGAGTGCTAGCCTTGCGCAAAAGAAGCTCAAGAGTGCTTAGGCCCAGAGTTCAAGCCTCAGGACTGGCAAAAAACTCCCTAAAGAACAAAATAAAAAAAAACCCACATAGGAATCTCAGGCCTATAATTCTGGCTACTCAAGAAGCTGAAGTAGATCTGAGAATCTCAGTCAGGTATTACTTAGAAAAACAAATTCCCCAGATTTTTATCTCTAGTTAACTAGCAAAAAAATGGAAGTGAAAATGTGGCTCAAATGGTAGAGCCACAGGTTGTGATCAGGGATGGGATTGTGAGACCCTGAGTTCAACTCAGTACTCATACCAAAAATAAAAAGAAAATTAAAGAAAGGTAAACTAGATTATATAGGTAATAGAGACAAACCAATAGTTTAAATGCATATGAGGAAATACTATTAGTCTCCAAGTGATCATGTCATAAACATTATATGGAGAAGACATAAATATAAATTCCATTTATTGGTGTTCTATTAGGTACTTAATTTCTGAATAATAATAAGAAAATAATGAGTTCTTGTAGCTTATTGGTTTGAATGATTCTGAGGTATTCTAGCCACTATGTCTGCAGTAAATATTCTTCCACCAGCTTTAATATTTATCCTCTTTAGCTCATGATCTACCTACTGATTGGAAATCACTTTTATCTCCATCAATTAGCATATTTATACTTGCAGAGTTACACTTTTCTCTCTTATTAACAATCATTAGGAATCTTGTTTCACATTTGAAATTGCAAATGCATGTTCTGTTGAATCTGTATTCTTATTTTTCTTTAATATATTCCTGTCATGTTGTTGTCCTAAACAGTAACCAAACAAAATATCAACTCCAAATCCAAATTTAATTATTTCAAAAGCTAAACTTGAGAATTCAGCTCAGTCCTAATGGTTCAAGAATGGATAACTGGCATTATTATATTTACTACATAGAATTCATTATATTCTCTTTTGCTTTTCAGTATGGGCTGAGACATGGAAGGTAATAGTTTTATATTTCTATCTTCAATTAAGTAAATTTAATTATTAATTATTGTATGGATTACACATCATTCATTAACTATCTTGTTTCAAAAATTCATCTAGCCTACCACTGCAAGGACAAATTCTGTTCCAACTAAGGCATTAGGGAAGAAGAATCGACCAACATTACAATCAGGTAAGATTTGTAATACAAATTACTCTGAGAAGCAATACATTAAAATATTTGAAATGCTCTGTTCTTCTCATTCCTAATTCTCCCCCAACTTTGATAGTATGAATTGACATTAAAAAAAGTGCCAATGTCAAGCAGGATGCCAGTGGCTCATACTTGTAATACCATCTGCTCAGGGGGATGAGATCTGAGGATCGTGGTTTAAAGGCAGCCCTGACAGAAAGTCCATGAGTCGCTTATCTCCAATTAACCTCCAAAAAGCTGGAAGTGGAACTTTGGCTCAAGCGGTAGATCACTAGCCTTGAGTAAAAAAACTCAGGGACAATGCCCAGGCCCTGGGTTCAAATCTCAGGACCAGCATAAAAGACAAATCAACAACAGGCCCTGCTAATGAATTTATTGGCATTCATATTTCAAAAAATGATCAATTAATAAACACAGAAAATACTTTTAAAATTTAATTTTTATCTTTACGTAGTTGTACAAAACAGTTACCATTCGACCAAGTATTAATATTAATACAATGAATCTTAATCAATTGTTACCCTTTTCATCTTTCTCCCCATCTCTCCCAACCTTTTTGGTAGGTCATGGGATTTGAACTCTGATCCCGGGTGCTGTCCCTGAGCTCTTCAGCTCAAGGAGATTGCTCTACCACTTGAGCTACAGAGCCAGTTCTGGTCTTCTGGTGGTTAATTGGAAATAAGAGACTTAGGGACTTTCCTGCCCTGGCTGCTTTGAATTGCTATCCTTAGATCTCAGCCTCCTGAATAGCTAGGATTATAGGCATGAGCCACTGGAGCCTGGCAAGAAAAAAATTTTTTAAAGTGTAATATTAATGAGATGTTTTTGCTTTTATGTTTCAGTATGCTTAAATTCCTTGTTTGAATTCCCTCTATTTGTTAGAGGCTTACAAAAGACAGCTTTCTGACAAAGTTTAAGGTTAAAACATGCTTGTAGGAGAGGTGGGTGTTGGGATTCATATTTGTAGTCCCTATAACTTGGGAGTTTGAGGCAAGAGGGTTTTT